GGAGGGAGACACAGAATCCGAAGCAGGCTCCAGGCTCTGAGCTGTCAGCACAGAGCCCGATGTGGGGCTCAAACCCATGAACCATGAGATCACAACCTGAGCCAAAGTTGGATGCTTAACCACCTGAACCACCCAGGCGCCCCTATACTTGTTTTTTTTTTTTTTAGTGGCAAGTTTTTAATTGGATTTTAATATTTATTCTGCATCTATCAGAGATACTGGGATATTGGCAAAAAATCTAAGAGTGTTGTGTTTCCCAGACTATGTTGCATTAGTAATTCATGAAGTGTTATAATACACACACACACACACACACACACACACACACACACACACACTCACACACATTTGGAACATGCTGGTTAGACAGAATTCTTTACTGCAGGAATTCTTTGGGCCTCCATATATAATGTGCATTGTGAATCTGCAAGAAGAGATTTTTAACATGCCGGGTTTCTTAAGATTATTTGATCATGGAATCTTTTTGATATGAAATACCATATACCTTCACTAGTATTTTGTGGGATACCATTTGAATGCTGCTGCACTAGTATATAAAGATGCCATATATCCTTAACAGAATTACTATACAGTTGCAACAGAGGGCAGCTTCAGAGCCAGAATGATATGCTGGCTCTACTACTCCGTAAAATTGTGACCTTGGGCAAGTTGCTTAATCTTTTGCAAGTCAGTTTCTGCACATGTAAAATTGATACAATAATACTGTAAGTCCCTATGTGATAGAATTGATTTTAGGATTAAATAAGATAATGTAAGCAGAGTGCTTAGCCTGGTACCTGGTATGCTGTAACTGAAGGCACAGACTGTCTTTTACTGTAATACTGTTATTATCACAACTTGCATCTACTGTTGATTTTAGCACTACCAATGGTTGTCATTATCCCTCTGTTTTCCTGCCATGTGTGATGACTTTCAAACAGTCTATTATTATGTACTAGATTATGTACTAAATATAGATCACTGTGGTAAAATCAGCTTTAATGTTAAACAAGATAACATTGTATCCTATAATTTCAAAAGATTATGTTTCTGTAAGTTTTAGAAATATTTCTCATCATGTGTGGCAGCTGAACTTACAATTGTGGTCCTCTAAAATCCATGAGACAAAGAAAGAGTTTCTCATCCCATTAAAAGATAACAGGAATATGTCTTAAATTTGTTCCCTGAAATATATCATTGTTAAATGAAAAAGAGAGCTGCACATTTCTAGAAAAGCTAGGAAAAAAATTTTTATTACTATTTATACTGTTGATATTAGAAGGCCAGGGAACAAAAGAATCCTTGGAAAACTATAGTCTTTCCTATAATACAGGCCTCTAGGAATTGAAGAGAAACTTGCCATTGCACAAATCTTAATACTAATATCAATAGAGTATAATAGTTTTTTTTTGTATTTGTAGTTGTAAATTTTTTTTAACTTTAATGATCTCTCTGATCAAATATATTCTTGTCCTGGTAGCCCTAGATTTAGAAATTATGCATGGGTTTATTTTGAAAATCAATGCATATAAGGAATATGTAAGGTCAAAATGTAGCAGAAATTTGTGTAGGTTTCGTCTCTTTTAAAAAAGTCTTATTAAATCTTTCAGCATCCAGTAAATAATATTTAAGTGTCTATTGTTTAAATTAGAAGGAAAATGCAAATTTTAAAGGCAGTTTAAAAGAGCATTATCACCCCTCAAATCTAAATGACCAAAAATAAAACTTTTAAATGAAAAACTATAGTCAAAAACTTACAGGTGAATTATTTGTCTTTATCTTTTACAAATAACTGAAACCTAAAGGTAATTTTGTTCCTCTTTCTGTCCTCTCCATGACATTGATGTTACTTGACTTGAGAATATTCATTTTCTTTGGAATCACAGTAGCAACAAACTGGGTCAGGAAGAAATGATTGCCAAGGCCCACCTACTGAAACCTGTCTTTGGCAAGCTCTTAGACCTCTCTTAAGCCTAGTTTCTCACCTGCAAAATAGGCCAAATAACACCAACTGTACATCCTCTACAGTATTATTGTGAGGATAACAAAAATCAAATCAATGTAGGTGAAACAGAAGTGAAAGCCACAGATTACAATATCAGTGTTAAGGATTATCGTGGATCATGAACTATTCAAACTGTTGTTGGCCGCCAGATCTTTGCAAGGCTGGCTTCTCATCCTTTAGGTTTTAACTTAAATGTCATCTCTTCAGAGAGATGACCAGTTAATCTAAAGTAGAAATTCACAACTTCTACAAGTCGCTCTTTGTCTACTTCCCTTTTCATACCACTCTTGTCTCTTTGCCTACTTGTTGTTTATATGTGTGTGTGTGTGTGTGTGTGTGTGTGTGTGTGTGTGTGTTTGCCTCCCTGTTCTGTAGTGTGAGTTCCACGTGGCTGGGACTGCTGTGTTCTATGTTCGTTGCTGACCCGCAAATGTGTGGAACAGTGTACAATGAGGGAATGTGCTATTTACAGTCACTCCTGTCTAGATACATCTGTTCAAATGGATTTAGGTCTTAGAGCTGAGTCAAACGAACATTTTCATATAACTTTCTGTGTAGTTGGCAATAAATGGTTTCAGAAAGCAACACATGCATCCTCCCAACCTAATGAGAAACTATCCCAAAGAGAATTGTTTTCTCTGTGGAGTCACTTTCACCTCAGAAAAGGTCACTTGATTTAAAATGCTGAACAGAATTCATCTATCTCCAGACAGAAGAGATCTATTTTTTTGATTCTCCCTTTTAGAACAGCTTAGACCCCTCTTCTGGTATCACTGTCTTCAGGGCCAGCCAGGAATTATGATTGAAAAGCTGCTAGGTCAATCTGGCATTCCCAAATGGCACAAATACACTGTGCATGTTGGTTAACAAGCTAGGCAGTTTATTCCTATTAAATAAAGAACCCAGAGGTTTATGTTACTGGGGAAATGAAATGCCCAGACCTTACAAAAATAACAAACGAACCCCAAAGTCTTTACAATTCCTTGTAAACTCTTAAACCATCTAGCTTCTTGTTAGTGTCTCTGGATTTTTGCCTACCGCGCCTCTCCTCACTCCTTTAGCTCCAGCCAGGCTGGCCTCCTTGCTGTTCCTACAAGCCTCTACAAGCTCCCTTCCCCCAAGTATCACCAAGCCTTGCCTCAAATAGCCTTCAGGTATTTGCTCAAATGTCACCTTAGAGATGCCTTCCTGTCTACCCTTTTTAAAATCACAAAAACTGCTCTACACACCCTATCACCTTCCCTGCTGCTTCATTTTTTCCCATAGCCCTTATCCGATATATCTGCTTTATTTATTTGTTTATTTTCTGTTTCTTCTTACCATAATCTAGTCCTATGAAAGCAGAACTTTTTGCAAGTTCACTGCTATGTACTGTCCAGCACATGGCAAGCAATTAATAAATATTTACTGAATTAATGAATGAAGAATTTAATATGCAAAAGAGTAGTATCAGTTGAATAATTAAAGCTCAAACAATTCATTAAAATTGATTATGTACAGTTCTCCAACACTTGAAGCTGAGTGTTAATTAGATTGCTGCAAGGAACAGAAACTGTCGGGTTACTCCAGGACGCAGGATTTTATTTTAAAGGATTTAGGGAGAGTGAGTAAGAAAGTAAGGAAATGGAATGTCATTCAGACTGTGATTCAGGATACAGCACTGACCTAGTGCTGTGGTTCTTGAACTTTATAACACATCAGAATCATCTGGGGTGCTTATTGAAAACACAGTCTGCTGGCCCCCACCCCACCCCATTTTAGATTGAGTAAATCTGCACGGGCCCTGAGAATTTGCACTCCTAACCATTTCCCAAGTGTTTCTGATGTTGCTAGAGCAGGTCTGCACTTTAAGTACCCTAACCTAGTAATATTAAAGCCACTATGTTGACCTTAGGGCAGTCTAGGACTAGTGACTTGTTCCTTCAACTTTGCGTCCGTATTCCTGTTTCATTTTATTCTGACACCAATCCTTATTTTTATCTCAAGTCCTTGGCTTACTCAAGAGAATCTAGTGCCTCAAGACTTCTGCTTTTGCTTTTTGTTTCCCTCTGCATTTGTACCTGTCAACTATGTCTCTTTCCTTTAAAGTCCCCCTGAGATATTTCAGTCACTCCTCAGTAGAGAGTAACCCTGTAGGGCACAGCTCTTGAAATACATACCCTTTGGTCACACAATGATCCTGGACTAGCAAAGTCATATGAAATAAGGCATAATCACCTATATGTAACACATCTCATCTATCTGTTCGGAAAGGGTCTGTGAGAATCAAGACATTTGAGGGTTTTCAGAATAGGACTCTGTATATGACAGACAACTTGCCTGCAGTATCTACTTCAAAGTGATTAAGGATATTTTGAAACAGTATTGAAGAGAATGCCTTTATTTCACTGCCAAGTAATCCATAAATTAGCCTAGTAATACTGCGCAAATTTTTGTTTTTCTGGACCTTAGTTTCCCCTGTGATAAACGGAAGGAAAGCAAGTTCCTTTCCATATACAGTGTGCTGATTTGATTAATCTAATTTGCTAGTGTATATACATAGATGCATGGCTAGGTCATCCTTAATCTCCAGGGTGCTATGATCCAATCTATTTTGGCTGAACTTTATATTCTCTTGCCTTCTTCTCCTCCCCCCCCCCCCCCCCCCCCTCCTCTTTCTCCTTCTTCCTCTTCTTCTTCCCCTTCCCTTCCTTTTCCTTCTTCTTCTTTAAAGAATAGATACAGAACCAGCTTGTTTGCCAAGTGGTTCTGCCACCTACCATCCATGTGACCTTGGGCAGATGTCTTTGTCTGAGCTTCAATTTCCTCATCCATAAAACTTGGACTATAATAGCTTCCTTACAGTGTTGTAAGATTAAATGAGTTATTATGTGTAAAATTACTCATAATAGTTGGGGATGAAATGTAGCTGGCACGTAGAAAAGACTATGTAAATGCTCTTAAACTTATTTTCATATATAGTAGTCCCACTTATCTGTGGTTTTGCTTTCCACAGTTTCAGTTATCTGTGATCAACCACAGTCTGGAAACAGATGATCCTCCTTCTGACAAATGGTCAGCAGATCAGTAGCAGCCTAACGCTACGTCACGCTGCCTGCATCATTCGCCGCACTTCATCTCGTTTCATGGGCATTTTGTCATCTCACATCATCACAAGAAGGGTGAGTACAATACAATGAGATATTCTGAGAGAGAGAGAGAGAGATAGAGCGAGCATATTCACATAATGTTTATTATACCATGTTGTTATTTCTGTTCTACTTTATCATTAGTTATTATTCATCTCCCACTATGCCTAATTCATAAGTTAAACCTTATCATAGGCATGTGTGCATAGGAAAAAAACATAGTATATAGGGTCGGTACTATCTGCAATTTCAGGTATCCACTGGAGTTCTTGGAACATATTCTCTACAGATAAGGGGGGACTACTGTATTTTCATCTGTATTTAATATTTTGTCCTTTTCAATACACATGATTATACTGTGCATTGGATTTTTACTTAGAATTTCACTTAAAATATGAAGTTATCAGAAAGTCCTATAGTAAAATTCTATTGTAGTGAGGAAATTTCAAAGTGTTTTAGAAATACCTATATCCTTTTAAAAGATATTTCTGGAAGCAAGGAGGCATGTGACACTCTGTAAAAGACAAAACTACAAGAACATGAAACATATCAATAATCCTTGGCAAAGGCTAGGGAGGAGGGGAGAATATTGACCACAAAGTGGCACAAGAGTACTTTTGGGAGTGACGGCCATAGTCTCTATTCTGGACACATGGCTGAATATGTTTGTCAAAACTCATATACAAAAGAAGGAATTAATTCTATTGTATCTATGTTGTAGCTCTATAAACCTGACACTTATTTTGAAAACTGCTTCTTTTGATCTGGGAGATTCTGTAGAACATGCAGCTGTGTATAATTCTGATCCTGAAAAGTGACTTCCTAAACTTGGATTCATTTTTATTTCAAGTGCTGGAAATATAACATAAAATATCAGTAGAAGCACTGCCATAGCTGCCACCATCTTTGTAGCACCTGCTATTTGCATGTTGGGTTAGACAGTCTGTGGCACTTTCTTATCAAACAGCTCTAACCTTCCTTGCACCACTGCCTTAAATGCCATCTCTCCTCCACCTCTATCTGCTCCTACTCATTTCTCCTTGGGTGCTTAGGCTTCCCCTCACCCAGGAAATGGGAACAAAATGCCTATTTGATATTTTTTTATGTTATTTTGAGTGACACAATTTTATAACGGTTATTTTCCAAATTGTTGCTGCTGGTTTTCTGAAAAAAGTTATTGTATGTGTATCTTCTGTTCATTAACGTAGATAAATTTTATATTTTGTAAATATTTTTGTTATCATTTAAAAATCATATTAAGGAAGCTTCTAGTTTGCTATTTTAAATTATGAAAATGTTGAATCTTATGCAACTTTATTTCTGCATCTGCTGAAATCACATTTTTTTAATCTTCATTTTGTTAATGTGAATTATGCTAATTTTTGAGTGTTAAAACAACTTTGATTATTATCATCTTTATTATATTTTATTTATTTTATATTTTTTGAATATGATTAACTAACATCTTGTTTAGGGTTTTGGGGTCTATGTACATGGGTGGTATTGAGCTTAACTTTCTTTCCTTGTGGTTTCCTTGTCAGATATTGATATGAAAATTATGGTAGCTTCACAGAACAAGTTAAATAATTTTCACTTCCCCCTTTATATTCTAGGGGTTTTTGTAAGTTTGAGGACAACTGTTTCTTAAATGCTTGGAAAAGTTCACTAGGGAAGCCATCTTGGCCTATAGTTTTCTTTAAGAAGTTTTTCATTATGGTTTTAATTTCTTTAATAATCACAGGACTATTCACATTTTTCTATCTTCTTAGTTCATATTGGTATATGTTCTTTATTAGAATTGTGTCCATACCACTTAAATTTTCAATATTTTATTGGTATGAAGTTGCTTATTACATGCTCATATATATTTTCAATGTCTGTAGGATCTATAGTGATGTTCTTTGGTTGATATGTGTTGTCTCTTGTTTTTTTTGATTATTCTTCCAAGAATTTTATCAACATACTAGTCTTTTCAAAGAATCAGCCTGTGGCTTTGTTGATTCCCACTAATGTGTTTGTTTATTTCATTAGTTTCTGCTCTTATCATTCTTCCATGAATGCTCTTATCATTTTCTTTGAGTTTATTTTGCTTTTCTTTTTCTTCCTGAGATACATGCTTGGCTCAATTTTCAACCCTTGCTTTCTGATTTATGTATTTAATTTTAAAGGCTATAAATATCCTTTAACACTTCTTCATATATATCACAAAAATTTGGATACTTAATCATTTGTTATTTTGTTATAATTTAGATTAAAAACTTTCCTAACTTTTACTTTATTCACTATTTGACACATAGGTTATTTGTATTTCTTAATTTCCAAATATAGAGATATTTGCTAGTTGTCTTTCTATTATTGATTTCTATGGTTTAGCTTCAATAAGATCAGATTTTAATCCCTTGAAATTTGCTTTTACACCCAGTATATGGTCAACTTTTGTGTGAGTGCAGTAGTTGGCTTTATCTGGGATTTAAAATCTGATATCCATTGACTTCCAAGAAGCCCACAGATAAGAATTCAGGAAGTTTGTGAACTTGAATGGGCAAAAAACTACATCTTTATTTTTATCGATCTCTAAGTGAAATTTAATGTTTTCTTCAATAGTGAATCAATAAATCAGAATTGGCTACCAACATAGATATTTTCAAATCACATAGCAACTATTGGAAATATCGTAAATGTTGTTTCTCCTTACTATATTAAAATGTGTTAGTTACTAGAATACCTGCTAGATCATTGTATAATGCATTGATGAAGAAACACATGGAGGCAGCTGGGTGGCTCAGTCAGTTTAGCGTCGGACTATAGCTCAGTCATAGTCTCATGGTTGATGAGTTCGAGCCCTGCTTCTGACTCTGCACTGATAATGTGGTGCCTGCTTCAGATCCTCTGTCTCCCTCTCTCTCTCTCTGCCCCTCTCCTGTGCTCTCTCTCTCTCTCTTTCAAAAATAAATAAACATTAAAAAAGGAAACACATGTATTAATGTACTATAAGTTTTTAAACATTTTGATAGCTGATTTTTAATATAATTGGTTTCCTTTGTATTCCTAAGCATTGTTTTATGCATTTGAGAACATTACTCTGAAAAGAATCCATAGGTTTCACCAGACTTCTAAAGGGTCTCATGGTACACACACACACACACACACACACACACACACACACAAAGTTAAGAATGCTATTGCAACAGAAGGGAAGGCAGAGTATATGGATACAGAAGCAGGGAGTTGAGCAGAGTTGGTACTGGAGTTTTTTTTTGCTGTTGCTTCTAATTTTCTGAGTGCTACAGATGTCAAGGTCATCAGGAGAGAGTGGGAAAGGAGGGAGGAGATAATGGAAATTTGAGTATAGGAAAGAAGGTGTGAATTAGTTTTCTACAAGAAGAAGAAAGTTAATTTCTTAGGAGAATGCAAGGCAGTGCTGAATGCCCACTCGTATTTTCGAATTTAAAGGGAGAGAGTCATGTGTCTTTCTCCTGCTCTGTTCAACTGCATGGAGCAGGAGAAAGACTCTCTCCCAGCACTGCAAAGTGAGTAAAGAGTCGAACTAAACAGAATTAGGATTTTTTCAAAAGAGAAAGGTTAAGGGAGAGATGAACAAGGAAATTAATGATCTACATAAAAGTGATACCAGAGATGAATACCCAATACCCAGCTGGGTAAAGAGGGAAGTGAGAACACAAAGGAGTTATGGTCAGTTGTAAGATCAGTAGATAGGAGGTTTCCATGAGGTGGATGAGTCTGTAGAGTAAGGAACACTGCAGTAAATAAACTGGAGAGAGAAGAGATAGATTAGAGATAGAGAATGAAAAGAATGTTCTTAAATACACTAATAGAAATTATGGTTTAAGGGAGTGAGAAGCAAGTGAATATTTTAGGGAGGTTTATAAGCTTACAACTGTAATTTTGACATTGAAATCAATCCCTCTTTTCTTGACTCTCCCTTTCTGAAGTTTCCATGCCTAACCCTCAAGGCACACTGGCATTATCTTCTCTGCCTCTGATTTTTTTTTTTTTTCCTGAAGAGAGGAAGTTGGCTTCCCTCTCAGTATTCCTTAGACTCATGCTGTTATGGAGTAGCAATCTTGCAAATTAGTAAAAGAGTGGCTGAGAATATATCCTTTGCATTTACTGTGTACTCTGTACCATTAGGTACTTTTTTGTGTGTCTCTCACACATAATCCTATAACAATATAGTTGAATAAGCTGAAGCTTGAAGAAGGAAATTAACAAGATTAATGTAACACAGGTATACCTGATGGAACTGGAATTTAAAAAAGTATCTGGCTGTAAACCCTTGATTTTCTAATGCTGTTACCTTGTTCAGGACTCTTATTTCACCACCATTTGTAGGATAGACTTATACCCAAGCCTAACTATGGTCACTGCTGATGGTTCCCTGGAGAAGTTTATTCATGTTCTTAAATAATACTGAAACATGAATCTTAATTTTGCCATAGTTTTTTAAATTAGTGACCCTTAATTTTCCTTTCCTTTACTTTTCTTTCTTGTCTATCTTCCTTGAGCCAGCGATCTGTTTTGAGACTATGTAAATAAAATGTTCCCCCAAGTCCCTCTACTTAAAAGTATTCAAAATTTATGTGTCTTCCGTTTTCCCTTTTACATTACATTATTCTCAGTGTTATAATTTCTGTAAATTGTGATTCAGATTGTTCCTACACAATGTCAGAATGGCCAATTTGTTATGTAATCCATGGAGGGAAAATCAAATTATTTGTTTAATACTATGTATATCTAGCATGTTGTAGAGTGACCAGATTTTTAAACTGTCATTGGGATGATTTTGTGCTGCCTAGGTTTAACTCATGTGTTATGATGATAAAACAGTTTAATGTAAGACTTCGGGTGCAGCTGAACATATTCATTCATTCATTCATTCATTCATTCATTCATTCATTCATGTAACCCCCCTCCACTAATTCCAGTGTATTGAAAGGATATGGTATGAGAAGTAGTGCTGTTTCTAAAGTTACTCTTAGCTATGGGAAGTCCTTAGGAATCGTAAAGAGATTTTAAAAATAAAAATTGTTGGGGACCCAACCCTATATATTTTAATTCAGCAGTTCTAGGGCGGAAGTACATTACCTTTGTGATGATAGGAAAAGACACCCCACTGTGAATGCTGCCACTTGGCACCCCTCCCCCTAGGGTGTGGGGCTTGGCAAGTAGAGCATGGGATGGATTTTAGCTTTACCTCTTTGATCAGACGTTTGTGCAGCACCCCAAAAAGCAGCACTGGGTCTTGGGATCTTTAAAATGCTCTCTCT